GCAGAATATATTTTATTCACACAGTTGCCCGCTTTTAAAATTCACGTCTCATTCGGTGAATGTATTAGCAATGCAAAATAGATCTGCGCGGAAGTGTCTTATGATACTTTGACAACGACTTTTTGGGTGTCAGTGATTGGCACTTGCCCGTTTGTAAGGTCACTCTCGCAATCGAGATTTCAGCATTTTTTAGCATAACCTACCTTAACATTTTTTTATATATTGCCAGAATTGTTAAAGATCATTAATTAGTCAGAGAACAGTTATACGTGGAAATAGATTTTAAGCCGGACGACGACTTTTACTCGTTCAAACGGAAGTAAAATAGTATGTCACGCGTTAAGAAGCATGCTTTTGACCAACTTTTACTTTCACGCACGAATGTGCATGTAAATCATTCACGTGTTGTTAATTTAACTGGTTTCCCTTTCATGTATATGCCGCATACTGCGCTTGAAATAAACAGGTTTGAATATGATTAATTTATTTATTAGTCAAGCACTTTTATTTTTACTTTTATGTCGTTTAATCATTGGATTTTTTTCTATTTTTGTATTTATTATCATAATTGCCATTTTGTTAAATGTTTGATAAATCAGTGAGTTAAAATCTTTTATTGGCGCGAAAGTGTTTCGAAAATTTCTCTGCGACTGACAACACAAATTTAAAATTATTTGTATAATTTGTCGCTATTTGTAGCTAAAGTATCGATTTGCAAATTAATGTTAAAAATTTACATAGCAAATTGTATATATTACAATGTAAAAATATGTAGAAGAAATACAGCATTTATAAATTTACATATTGATATGTTTTTTTATCAATGCTATAAATAAATAGTATTGTGGAAATTGCGACTAATTTAATAGAGACAGAATTTAACGAAAAAATTTCACCAATTAAGCTTTATTATGCATGCAAAATAAATGTCAAGCGAATTAACGGTTTGTTCAAAACAATACGATAAAAGCAGTCGAACGAAACCGAAACTCTAAAGAAAAATTAAATCAGCTTTTATAGAGATAATTCATGACCGTATAAATTATTATATCGTTACATAACTGCACCAAATGCGAGAATAAAATGTAAAATTTAATAAATTATCAGATTTTATACACATCTCAAAATATCAGGCGATAAATATCACGAGGTGAAACGAGAAATTGTCTCAACGCACATTATGTTTTCAAGATAAATTTTGTGAACTAAGGCTGAGTTCCACTTGGTGATCGCAACGCTCGTGAACATTATCTATCTTTCTTTAACTTTCGATGAAAAACAAAGATAAAATGATTCCACAAGCGTTGCGATCGCCAAGTGGAACGTACCTTAAGAAGTAAATGCGAGTAATTAAACAGAGAGAAGACGCATTCCCATGATTCTACATTTTTGCCAACTTCTATGAAAAAAATCTCAACTTGCTGCTTTTACTTCTCACAATCAGACACAGAATTGTATATGATTTGATCGAGACTCTCCACGATGCGTATGTCCCGGGCGAATAACTGAGCGCGAAACGTGACTTGCCTGCCGAATGGCACATTTAAATTATTTATAAACAATGGACAGTCCATTTTTCTTTGTTTCAATTAATGATTAGAAACATTTGTCGATTGAATAGGAGATTTTAATTATTTATAAACAATAGACTATCCATTTCTCTTTGTTTCGGTTGATGATTAAATACACGTGTATTTAATGATGTACTAATCTAAATTAACGATGAGATACGTCGATCGTAATCTTCTTCGTAAAACGAATAACATAAATGAATAACAAGAAACGTGCCGAAACGGCATGCAACGGTAGTTTTGCGCGATGATTATTTTCGTGTGAATCAGACATTCGGCACGTATTATTTCATCTAACTATTGCGCTATCAATGCGTTCTTCAAGATTATCGATTTTCGGTTTAAAACAAAAAATTGATAAAACGAGTGGCTGTAAAAAAGTTCTAATTAATTTATTTAATAAAAGAATTTTAATGAAATGATAAGTACTTAGATCTCTCTTACAATAAAATAGTGTAACATAGCAATTTCAAAAAAATTAATTTTTTTTTTTAATTATTTTTGTCAAAGATTGAAAAATAGTGCTATTAAAGTAAACATGATGAACTGAAATATTTCATAAAAGTGTATTATTTAATATTCTACTTTTGTATTAAATATCAAATTTTTTATTATACAATATAATTAGTTTTGAAAATACTGATTGCAATTTATATGTAATTTTTTCATAGTGTTATACATATATTCTTATTACAAAAATAATCTTATATTTATATATATATTCTACTAATTTTATTGCTTATATAGAATCATTGTGCAAATTTCAACAATTCAAATGTTGAAAAAATTAAGAAACTTAGCTATCTATGATATCAGTATTGAGTGTGAAAAAATACCATGGAATTCGTCGTATTTTGTAAGAGTTGCGTAAACAAATAAAGTTGCACGATTTAACAAAGGCTAATCACAGCGTAAGAGAGATAAATGAGAAATTATTTTTTATGATTTTCAGGAATGGCAATTTTGAAACAGAATCGCGCGGTAGATATCGAAATAATCGTCGTGATCATGGTGTTATTATATCCGCAGCAAATTGCGTAGTACATTTAATAGATAAGTAACAGATAAAGTGAACACGCGGTTGCGATTTAATCGATTGCACAGGCACGTATATTCGTCTAAAATATTTCTTTTCATTTGGCATAGATCTTTTTAACGACTTCAATGCTCATGCATTGCATTTTGTATGCATTACTCTTGTCGCGCTCTGTCACACGAGAAAACTAAATGCCAGCAAGGAGTGGTGCAATAAACCGGTTGCTCAAAAATGCGTACTATGATCTGAATGCAAGAGTAATCAATCAACAATCGTATGAAGGTTGTCATGAGAAAGTGATATCAGGCTTATTCATGTTTATTATTAATTAAACTTTATCTCGTTATTCATTCCGTTGATTTTTTCATTCATTTGGCACGAATATTTGCTTAAACCCGAATTTTATTTTCCGTATCGAGTTGTCTTTAGAGAATTCTTTTATATTCTCATTCTCATAACCTGTTCTTTTAATCTTCATCAGCAAATAAAAGCTTGAATGCGGTTTATCAAGATTATTGCAAATCTTGGTATGAGAAACGATACACATTGAACATAAATTTCTTTCTTTGAATATATATAAAAATGTTCTGTTTTGAATGTATTTGAAATACGGACACCCTTAATTATTCATTTAAGTGCCCATTTTCCTCTCTTCGTCCGAAATGGTGTTATTATGTCCGCAGCATACAAATTACGTATAGTACACTTAACAAGCGCACACTTGCGATTTAACCGATTATATAGGTATATCCATGCAAAAATTTTTCTTCTCAACAAATTTTCAATGTTGCAATTCGGGGAAGGTCGATATTTCGCATTCGGTAGAACGGAGAGGTTTAAATAGATTGCTGGCTTTCGGTCCAGCGCTCGCTTTTCTTTATTTTTACTCTAACTATATCGTAACCCTAGAACCAGTTTTTTCGCGGCAATTATATACTCTCGAGTTGTTCGATTTTTGGCCGTATTTCTTTTACCTAGAAAACGCTGCTCTTTTTTCACGAAAACAAGTCAGATGCAATCCTTCGGCGATATACACCTACAAGAATATTTGCATTTTTCTTCGCAATATTACCGAAATCAGCGAACGGACGTTTTTATCGAATGAAACTTTTTCTCTCATGAATACATCTTGCATTTCTTCGATGTTTGTGTTATATCTTTTTTGCTTATATCATTTCAATCAGAAAGTAAAATATAAACTTTGGAAGTCCGCATCGTAAAGTTGGTAAAAAGCGATCGTTTAAATTGTGATGTATTGATTTCGAACATTTTTTGAATCGTATTTTTATCGCGTGACTAATGCCAAGTGCAGTCATCGAATTTTTCGCAAACGTGATCTTCGATTCTAAACTGATAATCAAAAGAGAAAGATATCTATTAGATACTAAGAAAAATAAGAAATCTACTAAGAATCTGCTTCAAAGCTCAGAAAACTTGCATGCACTGCTAATTTAACATACTCACTTTTTTCAATTGCATGCAAATCTTTTTAAGCCATTAACATCCGAAGTGGAGCGAAACATATTGCGTGCATCTATGTTTTTCAATGCTTTTGGTATAATATTTACATTTATGATCAATTATGCACTCATTAACTGCTCTTAGAGAGTAATTAGATCTGCTTTTCTTGTGTTGCAATTTTTTAATAAAAAATTTTTTTAATCTTATATCGCACATTTTTGCAATATAAATTTTTATTAGAGCTATGTTAATTGAGAAAAAGTCTACGCACATAAGAAAATAGTGTAGTACATAAATATCAGAAAATGGATCTATTATAAACTGTGTAAAGTATTTTCGAATTTTTTATCCGCAATCAGCAACATATTTTGTTTTTAATAAGGAAGTTGAAATGCTACAAAGGCCGTCTACATTAAACGAAACCTTACTTGTTCACATATCTCTCTCTTCCTCATACACAAAAAAGTATATTCTCATTCTCTATATGGCGTATATAGCCTTGAATTCGCGAATGTTGCTCTGCGATCTGAAAATTTTATAAATTTATCTCCGGTTGAGGAGGTAAAATATGTGTCCTTGCTATTGTTTGACATTATTTGACTCTGAAACAAAATATCTTGTTACTTACATTTTGGCCACCTTCGTCTATTGTTAGAATGCACTGGTAAAGCTGTGTTCAGGAATCTGTTCACCACTATCGAAGATTTTCTCCGAATGTTATTTGAGACATGTGACAGCGTTCTTGTCTCATCCTGTTCGCCGGGATTAGAATTCACGTTGGCCGTTGAATAATTCCGGCAACGCGACAGGGTATTCCATATTACCATGAGATCCTTCATGTTTGCGGCAGTTCAGTTTTTTTTGCGTGACAAATAGAATCACAAGGCAAGTGTTCAGCTTAGAAATTTTGGCGTAGCCAAAATTCAGTAACTCAAATGGCGATCTATCGCCGGCAATTCAATGGCGACGAGTTCGACGACTGACGGCAGCTAGTGGCGAGTCTCACCACTTATCGCGCGAAGCTCGATGACAGCTTGCGGAATTAAACGTCGTATTTTATAATACCATGTAATTTTCGTCGGGCAATTTTCGTCTGTTACACGTGCGATTTCGACACGTTTGATCTTCAAACTTTCAATTTGTACTTCGGCACGGGCCCTTCACTTTTTTTCTGCGCGTTTCGTCTCCACGTTCGATCGGTATCGAACACGTCCTCGCGAGTGATCTTCTTTAATCAGTATCGATTTTCGATGCTTTCGTCCGAACTGAATTATTCGCGAATCAATTACGAGAAACGCATGACGATTTCCGAAATGATGGACTGTTTCAGATGATCTCGTTGTTCCGGGTGACGCTCGCCAAAATGATTAGCGTGATAAGCTCGCGATACACTACGCTGACAGTTTAGGATCCTCTGGCTTTTGTCTATCTCCACCACCTGTCGTTATGTTACTTTGCTCTTCGTACGGGTGTAGGCAGAATACGCTTTGGTAGAGAGTGGCGGAAACGCGGATCCCGACGCGGATTTGAAAAATATATTACTCCCACCACGATGTAGCCGTGCATGGTTCGTCGTCCAGTGTCGCGACCGGTAAGCACGTGGAGCGACGGCCAATCGGATTACGAGATTGCCATCCCACCGCGAAGAGTTCGCGGTTACCTGTTCACCGTGATACTCGGGGGATCTCCGGCTTCTTCGGTCAGAGGTAGACATCAAGGTCGTTTGTTGATTCATTGTTTCAGGGTGGGTATTTTCCGCCTGCCCTTTGCGGTGAACGATCGTTTCTCGTGTTATTAAGTATGACTGGATCAGCATTTAATTTATTCGTGTTGAGTGTTAATGTGCGGCACATTTAACCCCTTTTGGACTCGTGAAGCGGTCGTAATTTACGGGCCAATATTGACAAACATGAGTCGAATTTGTGGTATATACAGTCACACGAATGCCTTAACACATGCATTTGTCAACGAATGTCAAGGTACATTCGAATTAGAGTGTAAAATTCACACTCGTGCAAGTTTATGTGTTACGGCATTCTTGTGACTGTGCGTACTTATTATGGATTAGATAATTGTTTGTCCCAGCGCGTAAGCGCTGTTGTTGACTATGCACACATAGTCACAAATTAAATCGTAAGGCACGGGATTAATCTGAGTATTAATATTAAAAATATATTTTATTTTTAGAAACAGAGGGGTTATATCAGTGACCATAACAAACGTCATAAACTCAAAAGCGGAAGTCATATAAAGATAGTACAGTTATAGCGAGCAAATGAAACGAGAGTAATCTTGAGAGCTCGGACTAAGAGAAAGTGTAGCAATTGATCGTAAACGTAATTACTTCCTGGTGGATCGGTGAGTGATCTAAAATGTGTGAGCAATGAGATTAATTTGAAGTTTAATTCACCTTGCAATTTTATTCACTCGATTGCGATAATATTATTTGCGAATTATATTTTGTGAAGTAATATAATATGTCATTTACACACATAACTGTGTTTATATTATGTCATATAATTATGCTACTGGCTATATTATCTTACTTCATAAAACACACTTTGAACGACATAACAGAGAGAGCAAATTAATTCGGAAGAGAATAAATTCAATTATATAGAATTTTTTTGTTTATTTTTACTGTCAACGCAAAAGTCGAATTGATATGTTTATAAGAATGTTGAGGTCATACAAAAACATGTTTTTATCTCGAATTTAATTTAATGCTAGCGAGCTCATGAATTCGGGTTATTCTCGATTCATGTAGATCAGATAAGAAATAATCAAATTATACGATTATTATTATTATTATTATTATTATTAGTAACGATTATTAAATATGAGCAAACTTTAATGTGAAAGAAACAGAATTAATTTGCACTGCACAAGAAAATACGTTTTTGATTTTAATTAGACTCTTTCAATTTCTGTGCAAATTAGATAATTGGTTACATACTTAGAGTTACTAATTACATATTGTGTACGTAGCTTATACTTATTTTATCATTCCATACGTAAAGAACATCAAAAATTCTCTCGTAATAAAGGTGATTCTCTTGTAGTAATGAAAACAATATATCATAGTAAATTAAAAGAAAAAAAAGAAATTTTAATATTAAATAGGTTTTGGAATATATTTTGCATTAAAATTTCAAACTTGATATATTGCAATTTTATAAACTAAAATTTAAATACATAAAATTTAAATATTAAAGAATTCAGCAAATACAGAATTAATAAAATAATTATATAATTGTGAAATAAAAATAAAAAAATATTATGTAGATTATATTACAAAAAATACAAATTATACAATTGGAAATTTTACTCTTTGCATTGATTAACAAGATATAGTTTATTTTTTATCAGCTTTCTATAATTTGCGTTTCTGACATTGAGATTTTGCAGTCAACAACTTAGCTTTTTTTTATTAAAAGTTTTTATTGATGTTTGTCTTCGTGGAAAATGACATAACATGTGACTAGAACTAAGTAGTCATTAAAAATGTATTGCGAAATGTTTACTACCACTGCATAACAAAATGTCTAGTATCCGATTAATATTGATTAGCACAGTTAATGCTTTTCTGTTCCATATCCATCTAATTGTGCATCTAATGTTGCATGCTACTACGTAATGTTTTTGTCGATTAAAGTGTCCTGCGATACTAAGGACAAGAAAATCTTAGAAATTGACGTCCGCAATTTCACAAGAAACAATCGTAATTTTCTGATACCGCACATTATGTAATTTTGTTTAATTATTCGGCACGGCGAGCGCAGGCAGGCATTGCAAATGCGTATTAGATCTGTTGTTCCGCATACGCGCGATAGGAAAAAAACACTTCCAACGTAATCTACTTAAGAAAAAAACGAAAAAAGTAAATACAGTAATTGAGGTACAACAGAAAATTAAATTGATCACTCTTGGTTTCGCAGTAGAAACCTGTCATACTGATGTTCGCGTGTCTTGCCATATCACTGCAAGGTGATTTTACTGCAAGCAGTGAACATGAGATCTACGTCCTTGCTGATCTTGATCTAGTTTGTATAGTTTAACGTCATTGAACGCTTAAAACGAATGCGATGTGTCACGATTTTTTTTGCGTCCAGCAGTATTATACTGTATACTGGAAAACCGGTCAGATTCATCGACTACGCATCCTGGAATATTCCAGAAAGGTTGCGAACGATTGATACTGAACCGCTACCTGAATGTCCTCTTTATGTATAACTGGTTATACATTGTCCCGTGATATACATTTTTCAGAAATCCGGCTCAGAAATTTCCGTTCTTTAAGTGACATTCTGTTTCGTCATTGTAATCTAAGAATGCTGATGATTTATTTAACATTTAATTCAAAAAAAGTTGATAAAAAGCTTATATCATTTAACTTAATTTGTAAATTAAATTAAATTCTTTTTTATCACGAAGTTGCAATTCAGACGTTCGGAATAAAATTGCAAGTTTTTTATAACTTATAAATTTGTATAATTAATTTTTTTATCCTCTTTAAACAAGTATTTTTAAATACATAAAACGTGACAACATTTGTTTAATAGTATATGGAATTACAATGACATATAATAATTACCATTCTAGTTTGTAAAACTTTGGACGCACTATATGTATATGTATAATAAGCATTTTTAATATTTGTCTTAAAATATTTCCGACAATTATCTTACGCTTGTCACCGCGTTATTAAACAGGTTATGCATCAAGGAAATAAATTAGGAACTAAATTAGGCAGAATAAAATGGTATTCAAGGTTTTGATATATCTATTAAAAATTCTGAATTAGACGTAGGTGCTTTCTACGAAAGCGTCTAAGAGTGAGCGTGTAAGTTTACATATAGTAGGCTTTACCGGTTTCTGAAGTCAATAGCCTTGCGCGATGTTCAAGGTTACGAGATCCAAATGAATTATTTTGCGACATATTCTGGTTGTCGGCTTTTCGGTCGTCAGTATTCGGCTTTCTTTTGCCTTGAACGGGTGTATTTTTTATCGATTTATGCAAATAATTATTTCTTTTATTTGTATTGAACCCACAATCTCCATGGGCTGCTGAAAAACGCAAACTATAAAAAAACTACTATTTTTTATCTAGAAATCTTTAATAACGAAATTTTGACATTATTTAGGTAATAATTATATTGCGACTTGGATAATCTAGTTTTATACATACATAGCAGTATTATTATTTTTTTTTTTTTTTGAGAAATAGTTTAACACGATTTGGTTTGTTATCGTGGGTTACAAGCATCGTTGATTACATATAATTTGATCTTTCGATGTTCCGTTAACCTCTTATCAAAATGTTCGTAGTCAACGAAGCTTGAACGCAGTCATCGCATAGAACCGGCATTACGATGATAGCTGGTTTACCGATTATCCGCTTGTTGCGTTTCCGTGGCATCATCGATATCGATTAGCGACACAATTCCGCGTTTATAGCTCGGAGCTATTCTGGCTGTTTCCACTCTCTTGTCGTAAAGTGGAAAGGTACTACGATATTGTCTATAAAAAAAGACATAGTCATGTCTTGAGATGAAGTAGTGGCTACTTCAAAGATCAGGCGAAGTGTATTAGCATCTAGAGCAAAATGTGCATTCTGATCGAGACATAAGCTTTTCAAAACAAAGTTAAATTTTTCCTACAAATAATGTATATGTTCAAAGCTTAAAATATTTTTTATAACATTTTTTATATAAATAATATATAATATCCAATATGAATTTATCATTAAATCTTATTTAATTCTAGTAAAGCATTGTTTGTGATGCAATATTCAAATTGATTATTGTGTATCTCACAAAATATATAAATGTTAAATGATATTAAATGATAAAAACTTGTTTTTGAGACTGCGTCGTAACATTAAGCTGACCCATAAAGAAAGCCATAAATTTCTTATTTTATTATTTCAATGCAGTTTTTATTTTATTTACTACAAATAATTTTAACATTAAACAAAATAAAAAACAATTTATTGTTTACTTTATTGACATAAATTCTTGTTTTTAATAGTTAATTGTTCGTAATAGTCAATTATTTTTAATAGTCGATTTACTATTCAAATTGAGATTATTATATTTAAATTAATTTTATATATTATACGTATTGTACATACGTCATGCCACAAGTCACAAATTATTCTAAATTATTTATATTGTTTTAGATTTGTATCAGCGCAATGAAAATTTAATTGTATATTATAAAAAAATTTAGAATGATTTATATTAGACTTTTTTTTTCTAAACTATTTTTGTTCTGGATGTTTTCTTCGACACTTCTCTCAGAATGTTTCAAAAATGGAAGAAGTCAAGCAAAATCAAAGTGTTATTTTCTTTTCAGTTCAAGTTATTATGATAAATGCGCAGATTGATACGTAAAAATCAATATTTTTTGCAATTGAATAAAAAGTAACGATTAATCAATATTGAGGTCACCCTCATAAATCGTCCTTATTTTAGTTAAATATAAAGACGCTTATTTCACACATCCGTATCTTGCATTATCGCTTTTAAATTATGCGTGAATTCGTTATGAAATTTTTATATTGATCGTTCTCGTTTAACGCTATTATGATTGACATGTTATCGATTATTGTTAGAATTCAAGGGAATAAAAATCATTTCCGATATAAAGAAGTACTCAATAATTGCTTCGAGAAAATATTCGTTGAAAACGAGATATTTTTTCGTTTTGTACGAGATTCATCGGAAAATCATAATTAGTCTATCATATTTTCTAACAAACTAGAAAACCAATTTGTTTTTATTTTTCAAAAAAATTTTAAGAGCAGGTTATCGATAAGAGAGATCGATCAAAGATCGAGAGCATGGTCTATTATGAGCATGGCATCGATATGCACGGTATGCATGCTATGTATGTCCTTTTCTTTTTCAATATTACGGTTTACGTATATCATAAAGCCTATATTACCTATTTTAGTTACAATAGGCATGCAATGCCGTGGTCATTGGAGATAATTGTCGTTATCATAGCGGGTGGTCAGTCACGTGCTTACAACACACATTGTCGCATGTGACGTCGCATGTGTTGATTCGTATTCATAACGCTGAAAGGCGATTTTGAAAGGACGCGTAGTCGTTACAAGATCACACTATTTTGTTCTGACATCACATTATTACGTATTATTATGCATTTTTGTGCATTAAGTCGGG